TGTGCCTGAGCATCCCATGGACCCTGTGCCCGAGCATCCTGTACACCCTGTGCTTGAGCATCCCGTGCACCCTGTGCCCAGCTTAATGTACACCCTGTGCCCGAGCATCCCGTGCACCCTGTGCCTGAGCATCCCAACACCCTGTGCCCAGCTTCCCGTACACCCTGTACCCAGCATCCCGTACACCCTGTGCCCAAGGATTGCGTGCACCCTGTGCCCACGCATGGCGTACACCTTGTGCTCCAGCAGACACCCACTCTCAAGGGACCAACCCCGCCGTGCTCCCGCGGGGGCGACACGCTGCAGCGAGAGCCCTCTCTACTCGCACGCGTCAGGTACTGCTGGGTCTGCCTGAGACCCCGCACATGCAGCGTGCCGAACCCCTCCGGGACCACGTACAGCGCGAATCCCCTCAGTTGTCCCTAAAAATCTCATCCGACATCTGTCTGCTGTGCTGAGCGCGAACAGGCAGACTTCGCCCGTCCCCTCTCGCAGCGTCAGATGAGACCAGTGTTAGCACTGACCGAGACAAGTGCGCGCACTAAGGAAAAAGCCAGCCTTTGTCACATCATCCATTCACCCGGGACTGCAGCTGCTTGTGACGCTCAGTTGAGAGCCCTCTTTGTGCGGACCGTCACAAGACCCGAATCTGGCACATTTGCCATGGGCCAGAATAAACATCTTTTATTACAGTGGCCAGGAGAAGTGAGTAACTGCGCTGAAAACAATGGTGGGGGAAAGAAAACAAAGCCCAGACCACAAGGACAAGTGGAAAACAACATCAGCGCGCGAGGGCTGGCCGGGAGAGATAATTCCCAAAACGCGGGGCCGCAGACTGGGGCTCGGCGAGGTGCCGGGCGGAAAGCTGGGCTGGGGATGCCCGCGGGAGGGGCTGGCGGCGACCAAGAGGGGAAAATCAGTGCCGCTCCTTTTGTCACCCCATGGAGACCAAACTAAGACCCCGATGCTCCTGGCAAGGACGGGGCCGGGGCCCGGGGGGATAAACCAGGCGAGAACAGCTCTTGTGCAATAGCCCCAGCCCGTGCTAAGCAGAG